ACTGTAAACTATTATTAATAATAATGCATCAATATGGGCTCACCATAGTAACAAATGTCTATTAAATATTTACATTTTTATTAAAATATTTTAAGTTGTATGATGCATTGTAGGTTAGTTTATAGAAGTTATTATTTGCTTCTGAAAACTGATGATTTGGTATCAGGCAAATCTGTTATTCTATTGCTTATACAGCTAGTGATTTTTTTGAGACTATTTGGAACTGAGTAGCATGATTTCCTCCAGGGATACATTAAAAAAAAAAAAAGTAACGACCTTTACCCCTTTTCTGAAAACAAATCTGATATTTCACTTTAAAGGTTTGAACACTTACGCACCTTGGCTGAATTTTGGTAGAGAATTGAGGTCTAAGTCCATTGAACTCATAATGTCACAATATCAAAGTCACACTGACAACACATTATGTCTATCTCTATGTCTATGATCTTTGTCTATCTCTTCCTTGCCAGTAGTACTCACACTAAGAAATGAAAATGGCAATGATTTATGCATCCACGTAAAATGGAAATGGTAATTTTGGTGGAATTTTGTTAGCATTTGGCCCATGAATGACTTCAACTAAATTTAGGCAGTAGGGTAGATGGCATCTGATAGTCCAAAAAAACCCCGCATTTCTATATATTAGTAATACATGCACAAGTTAACAGGAACTTTAAACAAAATTCTACTTATTTAATATATAGTGGCCAAATTTGACAAAAATTCTACTTTAATGAAATTTACATAATGACATCCTTAAATCTGCCATATGTATACTTGTGTATTCCATAACCCAAAATTAACTTAAACTAGATAAAAAATTAAGCCAGTTGTGAGAGATTTCAAGATCCTGTAGTGAACTTTTTTTTGGAATTTAAAAACTTTGTTTCAAGTAAAACAAAACAGCATCTAACTGCATCAATCTACCTTTTTTTAAGTGAAAGGAGAGTTAATGTGGTTATTTTCACAAGTCATCGTGATGGCTCTAGGAGCACCCATAACACGATAAGCCCCGTAGAGTTAATTTTAGACAATGTAGAAAAATTCCTGGCTCCAAATATAATCTGGTGACTTGGGAAGCATATGAATGTTAATTACGATGTGACAGATCAGACTTCAAATTCTTAAAAATGGACTAGGATGGCTGCAAAGACGCAACTCAGGTCAGGACCAAGGAGAAAAACCGTGCAAAGGTTATTTTATCCATTTCTAACACTGTAACAGGCACTACCTGAGCTTTGGGAGAAGTGTCAGGACCAGGATTTGGGACGTTTCAGCTCAGGAGTCCACCAGGAGACCGTGTTGATAAGTTTCCTCCGCTCATGACCTTTAGCCTAGTTGTCAATTCTTCCCTTTGGGACAACCAATCCCAGGGGAAGGAACCGAGGGTCCGCCACCAGGCGCAGACAACATGACCTTTGACCCAGTTTAGCCTGAGAAAGCCGACGAAATGGGAGCTGAAAGGAGACAGGTGCCTACAGCCCCCAGGTGTGACCCTCACCGTTTCTCCCTCCCTATTCGACCTTCCTCCATTTATCCCTCCCCAAAGTTCCCTCTCACCCGGGCAGGACAGCTTGGTTAGCGGCACCAACATGTTCACAGTGACCAGGACTCTCGGTCGGACACAGCTGAAGGGGAATTCCTGTGGCTCGCCCCGGGCGCGGGACTTCTATGCCTCCGGGGGCGCCATCGCACGCAAGGAAGCACCAAACCTTCTGCTGAAGTTTACCTCCCAGCTCACCCTACCGCTCTGGCTTCACGCTTTGGCGTGACCGCCTCTTTCTCGCTCTGCGCCGGCGCCACGCATGACGCAATGACCAGCAGAAGCTTCCGGGTCATGTACCCAAAGAGTGAAAGGACTGGGACTCCAAGTTCCAGCGCGGACCGCGGCTTCAGTTTGCGGATTGGATCTACACCTCCATCTCACCCAGACGTGCCGAAGATGACGGAGTGGGGTGGGAGGAACCCTCAAATCCCATAGTACAACGCGCACGCAGCAAAAGGAGGTGGAAGGCGGAGCGACACGTACGGCATCTTGGGAGTTGTAGTCTGCTGCAGTGCTTTCTGAGCACGCTTGGAGCTTTGCTCAGGCGCAGTGAGTGGACTGACTGACATCTGATTGGTTGTCCCGAAAAAAAGGAACCGCCTTCGTGGTATTGAACAGACATCCACAAGGAGACGGGGCGGGACTTCGGGTGGGAAGAGGCGGGGCCTCCGGCCTTTGGGCGCCAGCGGTTGAAAGACCGTAGGTGTCGGTTCGGCGGCTAAGTTCGGATATCTGCGTCCCAGCTCTTCTCCATGGCCGACCCTGGGGAGGTGCAGGTTTCTCCTCAGCCGTCGCCGCCTCCCTTCTCTCCCTCGTCTTCTGACGCCTCTTCAGCATCTTCCCCCGGCGTCCCAGTGCGTTTGGACTGGCCAGTTCCGAGCAGGAACAGCGACCGAACGGTGGACCTGCTGGAGGAAGTCGAGCTGCAGATCGGAGACGTGCGTGTCGCCCGACAGGTCCCGGGAGCCGCGTCCGTACTCGGCGCTGGTCGGGAAGACAGACTGCGGTGGGGCCAGGGAGGGAGGGACAAGGTGTCCGCACGCCCGACCTGGCGCGTCGGGCCCTTCTCTCCCCGGAGGGTGTTGGCTGGGGAGTGGGGTGGGGGAACGCCTGCGACGGAAGGCACCCTCCCTCGAGGATTCTGCCTTTGTTTTTAGTGTTGCGGAATTAGGGGTGCCCTCTACCCGCCCCGTCCCTCACTGTTTGCTTTTTGCCTCGCCTTCTGGTTTCAATCATCGGCTGTAACCCGAAACCGCTGAGCGCTGGACTGCGCGGACTAGTNATGGGGCAGCACACATCAAAAAGGAGAACATCATGTAGATTGACACTTGCTTAAGGAGTATGGATAAATTATAGGCCACTTTTCTTATACTATAAACACCCTGACGACTAATTTCTTGCTTATTTTTCTTTGTAGTCTTCACTTAACATAATACCTTGCAATCACATTTCAAAAACTTTATATGACCTAAAAACATTTTCTTACTTCAATATTTCAAATTATGAATGGAAAGGATTCTAGTAGCTCAGGGACTAGAACACCAACTATCTGTTAACTGAATATCTATCAACTGGACATGCAAACTAAAAAGTAAATACAGCTTTTTATGTAAAAATGTGACTATAAAATGTTTTATTCATAGTAAAAGATTTTATATATTTGTTTGCTTTCACTCTATGCCTCCAGAGAAGAAAACTAATGGATGACAGCTTCATTATGAGACAAAAACTAATGAATGAGAGCTTCATTAATCTATGTAAGCTGATTACGTTTTCTTGTTTTGAAAACTTATTTTCTTTCTTGTCACTAGAGTAATTTTATTTTCATTGTAGTGAATGTCAAAACAACATAAAAGCAAAAAGGAGAAAAACGGAAAAATCTCATAATTCTCCTTTGTTCACTTATTTTCTAATAGCAATGCTTTTCTATATTTCAAAACTATAATTCCTCTTCAACCAGGAAATACTCACAGCAGAGAGACACGATTGACATGGCATGCAGCTTGTTCTCAGACCTGATATAAGGTCGCATACAAATGACAAAGATGTTTCCAAAGCATGTCACTGAAGACACAACCCAGACGAACACTCTCTGAATGACGTTTGCCAAGAGATTCTCTAGAGATGAGATTCCATCAGTGTTTGGCTTACAGCTGCGGACGTGNATTTGGTATATGATAAAGAGGCCATTTCAAATCAGGGAGAAGAGATGGTTATTCACTAAGCGGTGCAGTCATAGGGAGACAGTCATTTGGGAAAAAAAGCATACTTTTCTCCTTATAGCAAAATGAATTCCATTTGGTCAATGATTTTAAAAGGGAAACTCAAAATATAAAGGATATGGTGATATGACCACAAATTAGTCTCCTGCTTTTGAGTGTGGGCTGGACTTAATGGCTAACTTTCAACAACTGGAGTATGAAAAGGGAAAAATATTAACTTTACACTGGAGAAATATGGCAGACACTTTAATCAAGTGATCAAGTTTCACATTACCAGCAATGAGACGTAATGGTATCACCACCCCCTGACATGATGTGAAGGGAAGGGCTCTTCGCCTCTGTGGTACACTTCCCCCAAATCTATAACCTCAGTCTAATCATGAGAAATCAGCAGACAAACTCAGGGACATTCCACAAAATGCCTGGCCAGTCCACACCAAAAGTGCCAAGGTCATGAGGGACAAGAAAAGGCAGAGGAACTGTCACACTGAAGTAGACTAAGGAGACACGATAACTAAAGCAATGTGGTGCCTTGGGCTGGATTCTGAAACAGAAAAAAGTAATCTGATTAAAGTCTGTAGTTTGTTACTACCATTGCATAGATGTTAATTTCTTAGTTTTGATAATGATACTACAGCTATGTAAGAAATTAATCTGGGCGAAGGGTGTATGGCAACTCTGTGCTATATTTGCAACTCTTTTGTAAGTCTAAAATTATTTCAAAATAAAAAGTTAAAAAATAAAGATTATGGTGATACAAAAGTTAACTCAAAAAGAACCAAACACCTAAATATAACAGCAAAAACCATAGAATTTTTCAAAAAAAAAAATGAGCATGAATCTTTGTGACCTGGGAACAATGGTTTCTTAGCTATGACATCAGAAGCAGAAGCAACAAAAGAGAAAATAGATAAGCTATACTTTGTCAAAATTAAAACCGTTTGTGCTTCAAAGGATACCATCAAGAAGTGAAAAGAGAACCCATGAAATGGGAGAAAATATTTGCAAATCATATACCTGATAAGAAAATTGTATCTAGCATATATAAAAAACTCATTTCTAATAATAAAAAAGATAAATAATCCGAATAAAATCAGGCAAAGGAGCTCAACAGACATTTCTCCAAAGATATACAAATGGCAATAAGCACATGAAAAGATGCTCAGCATCATTAACCATCAGAGAAATGCAAATTAAAACCACAATGATATACCACTTTACATCCACTAGGATGGCTAAAATCAATAAGGCAAATAATAACAAGCGATGATGAGCATATGAAGCAATGGGAACTTGCATACACTGCTGGTGGGAATGTTAAACAGTGCAGACACTTTGGAAAAACATTCCAGCAATTCCTCAAAGTGTTCAGGATAAGAGTTTCCATGACTCACTCCTAGGTATAGACCTAAGATAAAAACACATGTCCACACAAAAACTTGTACACAAGTAAATGTCCATGGCTGAAATATTCATAAGTCAAAAAGTGGAAACCCAAATATCCATTAGTGAATTGATCAATGAAAAGTGATATATCCATACAACGGAATATCATTCAGCAATAAAAATAAAGTAGTGATATATGCTACAACATAGATGATCCTTAAAAACCTAAGTGAAAGAAGCCAACCACAAAAAACACACATATATTACATGATTCCATGTATATGAAATATCCAGAACAGACTAATTTATAGAGACAGAAAGTAGATTAGTTGTTGCCTAGGGCTGGAGGGGTTGTGGAGTGACTGCTAATGGGGATGGAGTTTCTTTTCCGGGTGATGAAAATGTTCTAAAGTAGACTGTGGTGATGGTTGCACAGCTCTGTCAATATACTAAAAACCATTGAATTGTATATTTTACATGGTGTAAAACATGTAGTATGTCGCTTAAATCTCAATAAAGCTGTTATTTAAAAAAGCATTTAGTCACACACACACAAAAGATTATGGGGAAAACATTGGTAATTTTTTTTTAGAATCCTGGATTTGCAAAGGTTTTTCTAAGTATGGTAAAAATCTCAAAAATCACAAAATCATTTGACTAAAAATTTTAAACAACTATATGAAAAAAAAATTATATAAATATGAATTGCTTAGTTGTCTGTATTCACCAGTACATAGCATAGTCCTAAAGCATTTGTCTTTTCCTTGTTGTATGCTAAAACCCAGTGTTAGCCTACATATAGGTATAAATATTTGTTGACTGAATTTTATAGTCCTTTTTATACTCTCCTTCATTACTGTACTCATTTCTGATTTACCCGTGGTATTTTAAAACAGGTTAGTGCTTTTTTAGTGTCATTCTCTGTGAAAAGGCAAGTCAGAGTTATAAAACAGAAGCATTAAAAGGCCAACATGAGGGAATAAAAAGATAAACTAGACTGGGAGAAAATATCTACAAAACAAAAAGCTGGTATCCAAAAATATACAAATAACTCGTAAAACTCAATTAAAAAACAAACTCAATTAAAAAATGGGCAAAAGATCTGAATAGATGCCTAACTAAAGAAATACAGATATACAGGTGGAAAATAAGCACATGAAAAGATGTTGAAGATCTTATGTTATTAGGGAAAAGCAAGTTAAGAGATATTACCACACACCTATTAGAATGGCCAAAATACAAAACACAGACAATGCCAAATGCTAATGAGAATATGGAGTAAGAGAGACTCATTTATTGCTGGTGGGAATGCAAAATGGTACAGTTACTCTGGAAGACAGTTTGGCAGTTTCTTATAAAGCTAACCATGATCTTAACATATGACCCAGCAATTGCACTATTTGGTATTTACCCAAATGAATGGAAAATTAATCCACACAAAAACCTGCAGTCAAACAACATGAATAAGCTCTGGAAATCTGCTATACAACATTGTACTTATGGTCAACAAAAAGATATTGTGTACACTTAAAAAAATTTCAAGAGGGTTTATCTCCCATTAAGTGTTCATGTTATGATAAAATATAGGATTAAAAAAACTTCACATGAATGTTTACAGCAGCTTTATTCATAATTGTCAAAACTTGGAAGATGGCCTTTAACAGAAGAATGGATAAAAAGACTGCGGTGCATCCATACAATGCGATATTATTTATTACTAAAAAGAAACGAGCTATTAGCCAGGAAAAGGAAGCTTAAATGCATATTGAAAGAAGCCAATCTCAGACGGCTACATGCTATATGATTCCAACTATATGACTTTCTGGAAAAGGCAAAATTCTAGAGACAGTAAAAAGATCAGTGCTTGCCAAGAGTTCAGGAAGAGAGAGGAAGGAATGACTAAATCAAACACAGGAATTTGGGGGCAGTGAAACAATTCTGTATGACAATGTAATTAATGGTAGATATATGTTTTTATACATTTGTCAAAACACATAGATTGTACAACACAAGTGAACTCTAATATAAACTGTAAANCCATGTTCATAGAAGCATTACTCACAATAGCTAAAAGGTAGAAACAACCCGTGTCCATCAGTGGGTGAATGGATAAACACAATGTAATATATGCACACAATGGATTTTTATTCTGAACAATAATATTAATTTATTAATTATAAAATTAAATAAATATAATTAATGAATTAATATTATTGTTCAGAATAACAATATTCAGAAACTGACACATGCTACAACATGGATGAACCTCGAAGACATTATGCTAAGGAAATAATAAGCCTGTAATAGGACAAATATTGTATGATTCCACC